GAAAAGAGTATTAAAATTACAGAAGATTAAAAACCTATTTTTATTTACCACTAGGCATCTTCAAATAGCTTTAGTCATTTGTATCCAATATAGTAAGCACTGCTGTGCATTCCTCAGTCCTTACAGCATACACGAGTTCTCCAGGCAGTGGGAATGTGCAAATGCAAGACGCATGGCTTAGTCTCCTTCCTCAAGGAGTGAAAACTCAAGAGAGAGACAATCTAGGTTTGAATCTAAGCCTTGGCATTGTGCAACTCTGGATACCACACTTCATCTCTCTGTACCTGGGCTTCTGAGAGAATGGACACAGCAGTTGTAAGCTGGGAACAGACTCATTCTAAGTTCTGAAGGAATTAATGCAATAGTGCTGGGCACAGGGTAACCAGAGCGTAATGGTTAGTCTTATTATTTGTGGCTGAGAGTTGAATGATGTCTTTCTCGTGATCTTTCCTGGAAATTTCCTAATTTCTGAGATCACAGAAATCTACATTTATGGAAAGTCCAAAGTGTGTTTCAACCTAAGTAGTCTTCAATAACGGATGTGAAGTAACATTATAGGGAATAGAGGAAGGAAGGTGAGTGGAAAATGTTTGTTGCTTAGAAAGTGATATCCAATGTAAAGAGAATAGATCAAGGATAATGTAGTTGATTCATTTATTATTTTGTCAAAAAGCTACAAGAATATTCTATAATATATTGAAACAGACTCTAGAACACATTGATGCTTATTTCTAGAAAGACTGTTTCTTTTTCTCTCAGCCAAGTGGAATGTAGTTTTCCCCAATGTGTCCTAAGATTGGGTGAACTGATATCCCAGGTACCTAAACCTCAGATGCAAATGTCATCAAATTCATGTGCCATTACTTGTCCTTGGGAGTTTATTTCTAGCTTTGGAGACAAGCAGTCTCCAATTATGTCTGTGACATAATTACAATGGTAGTTTCTCTTCCAGAGCCAGTTTTCAGTAAACATACTGTGACACAACTCCGATTCCTCTAGATAGGAGCACATGTCAAAACCAGGCTGACCTCCCTGGACTCACAGCTGCTGCACTGCGCAAGTCTGTTAAGGAGCTGCCGGATCCGTGTGCACATCCGGGGCACAGCTGCCTCATGCAGATGCAAATTTCTGTTTCATATTGATATTTATAGACCACCTACCAACCTAATGAGTCTCAAACAACAGCCAACCTCTCATGTTGTGAAAGCACAATAGTCTAAAATGCACAGTTGAATTCATTAATTAAAAATCCATATTCAGAATTGCAATACCAAATGTTACAATATCAAACAACTAACTCATATATATAAAAGGGTTAGTATTAAGCCTGGCTGCTAACCTGCCCACATAGGAACCAAATATCTGCCTAATTGTGCTTCAAAATACTGTGCAGATCAAATGGACTGCTCAGAAAAATAGATTTGGCTTGGCTAATTTTTAGCTTTTATTGTTTTTCATCTTTGAGTTTTCTTTTCTTAATATTTTTGTTCAGTGACCTCTTGCTTGATCCCCCTGAACTTATATTTCTCTCCACTAAAGTGACCATGGAAGCCAATTATGTGTCTTCAAAAGGACTGGGAAGACAACTATGTGGACCTCATTGGGACAAGGATAAGATACAGGCATAAAAGCACTGAGGTAAGATTGGAAAGAGGTCCAACTAGATAATGCACTTTGGACAAGTCACATCTCATTTGTTCTTAATTTCATCATCTATAAGAGAGGAAAGATATCACAGGTCACAATTTCAACAAAGAACTTCTGCAGGAGTAATTAAAAAGTGGTGGCCATATTTGTAATATCATTGTGGTGCTCTGCTGGAGAAAAGGAGGGAGCTACATTTACCGCATAAACAGTCGCAGTTGTAGCTGCGAGGCAGAGATTTAAAGCAGTCCTTTCTTTTCCATATTATGGGACCTGATAAAGCACTCTGACAATCTTCTCTTCTTCCTCCAGCAATGTTCCCATTTCACACACTCTAGATTAATAACTGTGGGATCTAGTCAGATTCACCATCTCTTAACTGAATTCTGGCAGGAAAGAAAGTAATATCTTTTTTATTCCACACACACATACATACCTCTCCAAGAATATTACTGATTTGTTTGCATCACTGTTGGGAAATTTAAAAATGTGTTTGGTTAACAACTATCTCTTTGACTTTTCCAAACACATTGCTTTTGAGACACTTTTTATTTATAGATCTTCTTTTTTTTCCACTCAACTGTGGAATCCTACATTTATGTATACTGCCTATATTTTCAGCAGATGTTATCCACTTTTGAGATGTGCATATAACAATTTCACCAACTTGAAAAGAGTACATTTAATGCATTTTAAGCAACTATATCTTTATGTTTTTAATCTTCTAACATAGGCACATTAAACACAGAAACTGCATACCTATCATATAAGAGCTAGTATTCAAGATCAACTGAAAGCACTAAGAATCTGGATTACCAATATGGGCCCGTAATGAGATGTTGACCTTGGGCCATAATATGTTCCTCCTGTAAAGGTGTACATCAATCTCATAGATCTCCTACAGCATGCAAATGTAATTTCCAGGTATCTGGTCACAGAGTCATAAATTTGGATGACACTTCAAATAACCAATCATTCTTTTTTGAGGTGTGACTATACCTGATCCATCAAGATTCATTGTTCTAATCAGCTCAGAGACAATTAATAACCATAGGGTTTTCTACAAGCCAGAGATTTTACAGGACACTTTCATTCAAATGACTGGGAAACATTAATGGCCATATTTTTCATACTTTCCTACACCCAAACCATTGGTAGATGCCTTCCCCCACTGGCTGGCTTGACAGTGTGACTGACTTTAGACAATGAGATAGTAACAAATCAATGCAAAGTTTTTAAAAATGCCCATATGTTTCTGCTCCTCTATTCAGCTCTGTTTCCTAGAAAATGAGTTTGTGCTGGCCTCCTATGGGATGAGGACCCAAATGGGACAGAGCTAAATCATTGTAGAACAGGCCTTCCTAGACTGGTCAGCCACTAGGCTACTCACATGCTACTTGCAGGCCTTCAAGCAAGTCTAATCAGTGTGAACAGAACCTATCCAGACTATGAGAAATAACAAGGTACTTATGTTAAGCTACTATGGATGGGCTTTTTTCTTCTTTTTTTCTTTTGTCTTTTTCCTTTTTATCGGTACCAGGGATGGAACTCACGACTGCCTGCTTGCAAGACAGGCGCTTATGCTGCTGAGCTAAATCCCCAGCCCCCTGGATGGGCTTTTTTGATGGGGAGAGGGAGAGTTGGTTATAAAATCAGCCATAAAGAAGGATAGACTTGAGACTCTTCTAGGTAAATGAATGCAACTCGAGACCATACTCATAAGTGAAATAAATCAGACCCAAAAGTGTCTCACTAGCATGAGAAACTGAACAAATAACTAGGACCCAAAATGCTTAGCAGATAATGTGAATTGGCAAGAAACCGTTTAAAAGACAAGAGAGAAACTGGGATGGGGGAAAGGAGAAAGGAAGGAAGAGAAAGGGGAAAAATGTATGTATATATATACATACATCTCATATAGATGTATATGATATCTAAGATAGATATACTACTAGTTTCTCTTAGTTCATTGAAAAGAAAGATATGTGCTGATGCTAATATTGTTTGGACTATATCTTATGTTTATGTCCTATACCCTGAGTAGCTACCTTGAAGATAACAATATGAAGTATATTAATTATTGTTACTCTGCTATTATCTTGTTTTGAAATTCTGTTTTATTTTTTTTCTTTTTCAATAATATAAATAAAAATAAAATCATTGCTATTTAAATGGACCAGTTTAAATTCTTAAAGACAACATATGAAGTTCATAGCCTTCATTCACTGTGCTTGAATTTCTGTGCCTGTCTTATCAAAACAACTATCTTTAATTTGAGGCTCAGAGAAGATACACGTCAGTGTGTGTCCCACACTCGCCCTTCAGCAGCAGAGCCAGGACTCAGGAAGGTCCGTGAGCACAGCCAGGCCGGCCCCTCCTCTGCTCTGGAGAGACCCTCTTGGCTTCACGGCCTTCCTTTGTATTTTACTCTGTTTTCAGTTCTTTTATAGACGCTTCACTCTTCTTTGTTACTTCCTATAAAAGTCATTTCATATCTCCCCATTAGTCTTCATTAAAATAAAGTAAAAGCAAACAAAGAGTCCTTTAACCAGGTTAAACCTGGTTCATGATATTATTTCATGTTTGGCATGTCTTGTTCAAAACTTCACAATCTATCCATGTAAATAAAGACTTAGAAAATTTGCTTAACAGATACACGGATTAGGAGTGATGGCTTTCTATGTTGAATACTGTCTAAAAATGCAAACAAAGTTTTAAAAAAGTCAACAGCACAGAAGGAACACAGCTTAAAAAAGACAAAAAGCATGTATTTAACTTTTCTTTTAAGCCAAAGGAAAAATGCTAAAATTTAACATGTGAGAAAAGAAATGTATTACTTATTTCTGTTTTTCCTTGTTTGGAAAGTATAATTGAATCATCTTACATAAATATTACATCAATTTTCACTTTCATCAGCGATGCATAAATGTCTTCAGCCCACCTTCTCAAAAGCCAAAAATGCCAAAGAATTAAATTTCAAATGGTATCTATTTATAATAGCGGCATTGCATGCTTCCTATACCTTGATGCAACAAGTGTTTATAGTAAGGAAGTAATTATGAGTATCACAAATATTTCATAAGTTTAGTTATAGCAGTTTCCAATAATACTGTTAAACTCACAATAAACTGGAAACATTCTACATTTTAAATGATTGGTTATTGATCCATTATGATATAATTACATAGTTAAATATTATATGTTCTTATCTAGTAGTAATATTTGTTAAGGGAAATATATAATAAAAGTAATTAAAATTAAAACATGTACATTATTTCATTTTAATAAAAGAAAAAATATTTAAATGAAATGCCTAGAAAATTATGTGTTAAAATACCACATAGCCATCAGAGAATCTGAGGTTTTCTTCCCCTATTTGTATTGTGTTTAACAACAAATCTAGGTTCTTTAATGCAATCAATTGCAAGTGGAAAAGGACTTAACCTAACAGCATTTTGTGAGAAAAGGTACCAGAACTTGCAGCTCACTGCACACTCGATTTTCAATAAGTTCAAAATTATTTATTGAATGTCTTCTATATTCCATGTGCCAGAGAGATGAAGTGGAGAACAAAACAACCTCTTGCCACAGGGAGTACACATTTTAAGAAGACAAACTGCACATTCATAAGATGATTCTATAGCAGATGCTAATAGATTCAGGAGAAAAATGAAGCCACCCAAGAGAGGAAGGAAGCTGGGAAGCATGGAGGAGAGGACACTGGGACAAAATGAAGTGAGCACAGAGCCACATGAGGACAGAGCTCTCCTGACAGACAGAACGGCAAGTGCAAAGCTGCTGAGAAAACAACAAATTATCAATATGGCTGCTAGACAAAGAACAAAGAAGATTTTTGGTCCAGTATCAGAATACAAGGGATTAACAGTGCTGTACATGCTTCCTGGTGACATTGCCTTTAGGGTACTGTGTTCAGTGCAGTCCTTGGTTTCACATTTTAACGGGGAACCCTGAAGACGTGGAGTGAGTCTCCCAGAAAGTATTGAGGATAACAGAGGGCCTAGCAGGATGCTACTGAAGACTATAGGAAAGCTAGTTGCTTAGCTGAGGAAAAGGAAGACCCACTACAGACAAGCTGTCAGGAATTTTAGCATGATTGTATTGTTTAGCTTCAAAGAGCAAGACTAAAATGGATATTACAGAATAAAATGCAGCCACGTACAAAAAAAGGGAGTATAGTGGTAAGTTGGTCCCAGGAGTAGTAAACGGTTGGACATCACTTGTCATGGGTTCTACAGGATCCCGATTGTCATACTTTTACAGATGACATAGCACTTGGTCCAGACTAATGAAAGCTTACCGGAGTGTTTAGTCATTCCGAATGGCTACCATTCTGGTAGATACCATTACTGGACTTTTACCTTGTAGGCTTATACAACGGCACCGATAACATGGCAGGGTTCACCCTAAGAAAGTATCTACATTTAAAGCTCTGAGAACCTCGCTGGCACAGGCTTGAGACTCCCTGTGGGTAAGGTCACTTGTGGCTGGGGCCGGAAGAGGAAGGTGGCAACTGCCCTCTCAGCAGGTGTGGAGTGTGGAAATAGAGGCATCTGTCTTCTAATTCAGTAGCAGATTGGGTTATTTAATAAGTGCTTAAGTGAGCAAATGATGGTTCTATTTTGATAGGTGTTAATCAAAGCTATTGTCACAGAAGCAGAGTCTTTTGCTACAATCTGTTCTTTGATAAATGTGCAAAATACATCATGGGGACCTTTCCTCTAGTATTAACGTTGCCTGGAGTATAAAGTGTGAATTAAAGTATAAGAGTGATTTTTTTAAAAACTATTTTAACAATCATACCTACAGTCTCCAAAATAAACTCTTGTTTTACAATTATTTTCAAAACAATGCAAACATTTTGTAACCTGATGCACAAGATTCTCTATTTGGCTCCTTCCAAACGACTATATCCTCATCATTCATATTGCTCAGAACTCAAGATAAAATAGGGCCTTTATAACTGAGTGTTGAGTGAAAAACAAAAGGTTGAGAAAATTAGTCAGGTCATACATTATCCCAATGGCATTGTGATGGTTCAGAACATTTCAAAATTCTGCTTTAGAATTTAGGTTCAATAAATTTGTTTAGATTTCCTTTAAAGGTTGCATAATTTAATCCGTTAATCTTCTATTTTTTAATAGCCAAAAATATAGTAATTACACTTTAAAATTAAAAAAACAGAATTAGTTTAAAATGAGAATCCTTAATTCCCTCTGGGATGGCAGAGGAAAAACATCTGTACATAAAATATGTCATACCAGAGTTTTTATCTCTGCTTTGGTGTGGCTCTCTTTATCTCCTACCTGTGTCATTACTGCCCCAAAGTGACAGGGTCAAGCAACCATGGACTGAACCCTCTGAAACTCTGAAGCAAAATAAACCTTTCTTCCTTTTAAGTAGATTTTCTCAGGGGCTTTTGTTACAGCAATGTCTTTCTAACTACTTATAGTTAAGATTTTTAACTCTTTGACATGAACTTCAGGACTCCTCATGTCTTGAGCCTGAGTTCTATCTCATTTTTCCCACTCTTCCATCTTGTTAACTTCTCCTTTCTCACCCCACAAATCTAACAGACTATTCACCTTATTGCTTCATAAATTGCTCCAGCACTTGATGACTGGCTGAGTCCTTCTCCCGAGACCCTGCATCATTCAGTGAGCATCTGACCATCCAATCAGTATCAGTTCAAATGCCATGGAACACCTGGCCTCCACTTTATGTTAATTACTTATTTGGGTACCTTTCTGGACTTGGAGCTGTTTCCCTCTCCTTAGAACTTAGTCCATTTTCTGGAAATAATAGGCTTGTTGAATGAATTTGAAGGTTATTCCAAAGAATGAACTCATTTCTGCAAAGGCACATTCAGAAAATAAAAATCTGTTTAGCCAGTGGGACTAAATCACTTTTTAAAGGCAAACATATGTAGATGAAGATGATGTAATTTGAGGTTGCATCCATTACGAGTTGGTAATATCTAAGGTTTAGATTTTAACAAACCAAATCAACTACATTCCTACTTTTGTCCTGAGTTTTGAAGGTAATTAGCCAGTAATTAAATGAATGAATGTGCTTTTCTTCAGCAGTGCAATTCTAACATACCTACTTGCGTCAGCATCTGACTACTGCCATCTGCCTCAGAGCACCATGAGAGATGAGATAGCCTTTTGTGCCTGGCATGAATAGTGAGTGTACTCAACACATAGTAGGTCCTTAGTACAGCTTTCTACGTTGGATCCAATATATTTCTAGAACAAAGAACAGGGAAAAGGCATCTACACTCTGAAATAAACATGAAAACTGAAGACAGATTTTCAGACCAAGGGTTGATGAGAATAGTTTATAGACTTGGCAAGAACAGCAGAGCTGAGTCAGCTTATTCTCTTGGCATGGGGACCAAGGACGCTGGCTGAAGAAATGAGGGGATGTACAAAGGGCTTCACTGGGATCTTTCTGCTATTGAATATTTCTGTTCCAAAAAAGATCTGGAGATTTCTCTCATTACTACCTGCGGAAGTGGTAGGGGATCACTCTGTCTTGTTCTCAGTCCACCTGCGTGTGAGCCAGTAAAAAAATGATCAGGATTTTTGAAAATCATTTTAACAGCTGAGTCTGGTGGATTGATGGTAGAGGCTGGCACTGTGTTGAGAATTCTGAGACTTCATCTAGGATAAATGGTAATGACAGCTATTACCAGTTATATAAGTGAAGCAGGAGGAATATATATTTTATGTATTCATACTTCTTGAACTAAGTAATACAAACAAAAATTGCCAAAATAATTCAGCTAAAGAAATAATTTCTAGTCATTTTTACGCATGATAATAAATTCTATATTTCTAATAGTTATGAGTTTAATAAGATAAAAAGAATGAAAAGACTAGATTATATACTATACTAAGAAGGAGAAAAATAAATTTACTTTTTTTTGGTTTTGTATCAAGGATCAAACTCAGGATCTGGTGCTTTCCAGGCAGGTGTTTGTGCTGCTGAGCTAAATTTCTGGCCCCTAAAGTTACTATTTCTACAACTACATATGCCCAGAATTATCTTAGGCCCTATAAATTCTTTATTCCTATTTAATCAGTTAGAACAGTGAGGGTGAAAAAGAAACTTTTCTAAAGTCTCAAAATTTTAAGTGGACTGTCTTTAAGGTTTGGTTGTGGCCTTTTATATCATTAAATGACCATCTGCCTTCCACTCTGTCATGTTGAGACCTAGCAGAAACATATGCATGCACACAAATACACATATCTTTGAGTACATTCAAATATACATATGTACATCGAAAATATAGCTATGTCAAAAACATGACTTAGAAAAATCATAAAGTGAATAACAAAAGTCTCACCCAGATCAGCATTCTAAAGTTGTTTCCTTTACTCACAGGTTGCTTGGATTTTAATTCAGATACTACTGACTCCTAATGTACTTGCTTCCTAACAACCAGTTCATCCGACCTTTATGGAGTATCTGAAACCATCTAGAAAATTTTAAATGGAGCAGGAAATACAGATGACAGATAATCAATAAAGAAGGCAGAAGAAAAGTGTGCCATCTGACTTCCCATTACAATAATTACAATAATAAGAGTGATTTCTTATTGAGGAATGATAGAATTAGTACAGTCTGTCAAACAGGCAGAAACATGTTTAACTCATCTAAACATAACATTTTATACTGTAAGACACAAGCATTTCACAAACTCAACAATAGCTGGAGAAGCTTTTGGGGTTAAGAACCCGAGTCCACTACTAAACGATGCTGTTTTCAACACGGCTCTTCCATCCATCATTCATGATGAAAGGCCACACTTAGCCAGAACTTCAGACAATTCCATGTGCTCCCTCTCCTGTGTCTGACAGAAAGAAAAATTTTCCTACTAACAGCTTAAAATTACGAATGGGTTTGAAGGTCTGTGTCACTGTCACTGTCACTTGGTAGATGGCTGGGTTCCTGTGGACCTGCAGTGTCGAGAGTTATCTCACTAGGAAGGAAGCAAATAATGAGGGCTGTAGTCTCATGGGATGCAGAAGGCAGCCCCAGGAAGGCAGCAATGCTGTGGTGAAGGTTGTTCCGTTAGGAGCAGGCCATATGTCTTCCTTCTTCAATTTGTGCATCCATTTTTTCTCTATCCTTGTTGTTTTGTTCACCTTGCCACCCTGAGAGTCACTTGTAGAATCTATAATACAGAGAAATCACAAGAGATCTAATCTTAGAGGTGAAAAATCAACTTCAGGGTAATATTGAGTGTTGTAACAGGACGAAATGACTCTCTCTGCATTGCATAATTAAAATATGATTCCAGAAAAGAGATACTCACTGGCCTGCAGTTTATTCATCTTGTATCACAAGCTAACTTTGTTTTCTCAAAGTAACAGGTAACAGCTTTCTAAAATAGGAACAATTGAGAACAAGAGCATTCTTCTCACTCTCTGTAGAAGGGTAAAAACCCTCAAAGAATGTCTTTCTTTTACTCTTCTGCTTTCTGTACCAGGCTGAACATTTTCCACTCTCCAAGTATAACTCCATGCATCAGCAGCACACTGGCTTTTATATATGGCTGACTTTCTCTGGTCCTGTCTTATCTTTCCTTCGTGATCCTTCAACAATGACGTTTTAGTCCTTTTCTGCTTTTCCTTGGCCCACCCCTTCCCTTATGAAATAACATACAGAAGGATGCACAGCATGACCAGAAAATGACTCACCGAGCCAAATAACCTGCCCCTGGAAAATCACTGAGCCTTGCCAAATGAATACAGGCATCCACTCCTAAGATGCCACAGCAAAACTCAGGGGCTTTTCAGGCTACAGGATCTGAAAATGTCCCATGATGTTTTGGTCATGGGCTCTAAGCTTTCAGCCCAAGAGGTGAACAGACTGCAAAGTCTTATGAACTCCTTTATATTATATGCGAGGTTTATGCATATTTATATGTTCACTTCTGTGATGGATAATATATAATTTATCCAAGCATTTTGGTAGCCTCTCATCAAGCTTTTATTTCTGCATTCATTTGTTCATTTTAACTAATGTTAATTATATCTTATTCACTATACTAGATGCCAAAGTGATCAAAAGGATGTGATAAAAACTAAATCAGACATAATACATACAACTTAGAGATGAGTGAAGAAAGAAGACAGGCATAAAACAAAAAAGACATTCAATAGTGTCACAACTCAATCATTGTAACAGGGAACCACAGAGTTCTTTGATAACAAGAACAGAATATTTTAAGAGAGAAATCTACACTATTAGCCATATTATCAACTTAAACTATCTATCACTGCAAGAGTTTATTAGCCTTCATCAGAAGTAATTTCAATAATGCTGTATCTGAAACAACTATAAAACTTATCAGAAGCCAAATAAACTACTTTTCATTGTAAGTTACTCAGACTTGCATGATGACAGCTAAGCATGAGGTATGGATAACAATCAATTCATATTGAAGTTGTGCCAACCTGTATAGGAAAGACTTCTTCAGATGATTAAATAAATAAACTATTTAGTACCTCAAACTATCCTGGGAGGAAATTTGGACAATTTTTAAACTTTAGGGTTCATTACCCATATGTATGTATGTATGTATGTATGTATGTATGTATGTATGTATATATATGTGTATATATATATATACATAACAAGTCAACAAGTAAATATAGGAGAAAATTTTAAGTAACAAAACTTTAAGTTACTTGATCAACTCATTTAATCCACTAATGTATGAGGCAGGTACTATTATTGTTACATTTTATACAAGCTAGAACTGAAGCACGTAAAATTTGGTGGGTTTCCCCAGATCCTATAGTTAGTAAGTGGTAAAGGCAATTTTTGAAGTAAGGAAATTTGTCCCAGTTTCCATGATTTGAATCTCCATAGTATACTGCTTCAAATGCAATTACTGAATACTGACATAAGCAAAATTCTAGGTTGGTGAACTGAAGGGATGGAAGATAGGAAGGCTAAGAATATGCAGGGAGAGACGATAAGGATTAAACTGTGCATGAAAATGTCATCTGTTAAACTGGAAAATGAAAAGTAGATGATGCCCCAAATTGGAGGAATAAAGTAACTGAACATGCTATTTGGAGCCTTGGATGATAACAACAAAATGATTAGCTGAAAAAGAAATTTACTACTGTTAGTAATGGTGAAGTAAAGTAGAAGGTCACAGGAAACTATTGTTCATACCCAATTCTGTAGAGCTACTTGACTCTTCAAACTCCAGATATATTTAGCATTGATAAAAATGATCATTGAAGAAGAAACAAGTGGTAAAACTTTGCTGTCTCCGATAGCTAGGAAGTTCTCACCTGGGGCCTCACAGTTTCTTTGGGAATGATGATGCTGTAACTGATACAGTGTAGCGGAGAGAACATGGCAGTCAAATTCCAGCCTGGTTCTGCCCGTCTAACACTGTGACCTGGGCCATTTCCCTTCTCTCCCTGGTCTCAGCTTTATCGTTCACAGAGGACACAGCAAGAGAAAATCTCTGGGTTTTTTTACCTAGTATATTTTATAAGATCCAGCACACATACAGAGAGAGAGAGAGAAAGAGAGAGAGAGAGAGAGAGAGAGAGAGAGAGAGAAGCCACCCTGAGGAGATCAAAGGGAAACGAGATATTAGAATTCGAGGCACAGGTGGAAATTTGCAGCAGTGTCCCCTAGAACTGATACATCCTTCTTCACCAGCCTCTTTCCCTAAACTCTCCAAGGCCTCTCTCCAAGTACAATACAAAATATCATTCCCATTATAGTTCTAGTTTTATACTTACAATGAGTACTCTCACATATAGGTATTATTTTTATCACAATGGTCTGAACAAGTTATCATTAATATTCTTAAAATGAGGAAAATTGAGCTCAGATAAAACTTTTAAATACTCTAGAGTGAATGGTGAGTTATTGAAATAAATGGACATAAAGGAGATGGCTCTGACAAAATCAAGTTGATTATCATTTCACATCAGCCCAAGGTGAGAAGGCAAGCTCAGCTTGAGGAAAATATTTCACCCATCCTGGTTACTTGGTCTTGTGCCAACAAAGTGTGGCCTTCAAAGTGACTTCACTCATTGATATTTCAGGCAGTTTGGAGAGAGAAAAAGCAGGTCTGGAGCAAGTGGCTCAAAGTAGGTGACACAGAAGCTGCACCAGTCTCTGGCGATTAAATTATGCTGGTAGATTATATAATACATTGCCCTTCTTGCTATAGTATTGAAGACATATTCTCAAACCTGATGCCTACAAGAATCCCGAGAATCCACATACAAGTGTGAAATAGGCTTCGTTCTAGGTAAAAGTCTGTATCATTATTTAATAAGTTTTCATGACTTACTGTGTAATGTGCCTTCTTCTGATGTGCAGGAAAAATGGTTAAGCATTGCAGGGAAAGCAATATTCCAGGAAGCAGAAGGGCAAGCACAAAGGCTGTGAGAAGAGGCATCCAGGAATGACCAAATGACACTGAGAAGTCAGTGCAGGGCAAATAATATTAGGCAAGAGTTGATATGGGAAGAGTTAAAGGAACACATCACTTGAAGCTAAATGTGCTAAAGGCTTTCATTTTTAATTTTTCACAGGTGAAAGTCTTTTAGTCAGAGAGATATGATAAAATTCATCCTTTAAATTTTGGTTTCCATACAAAAAGAGAGGCCAGAGAAGAGGCCATCACAATGGTCCACTGACAATACCAACTCCCATGAAGAGGGTACCATGGAACAGAGAGATGGAGTTCATGATGGTGGGCAATCTCTAAAGATTGCTAAAACAATGGATGAGGAACAGAAGAAAATCATCAAAGAGGACTCCAATATCGGGAGCTTGAGCAATTGGATGAATGCTCAACCCTTTAGATACAGAGAGCCTTGGAGACTGTGGCGAGTCAGAGTGCGCAGCTCGTCTGAAGGAACAGCTATTATTAGCTCAGAAAGAGGAAGATTACATTCTCTGTGATGATCATCCCTGCTGTTTCAAAGGACTTTACAACATACCTCCTTTTCTATATCATAAGCTTCAATATGATGTTGATAAGACCACAGACTTATTTAATGAAAATTTCCCAATTAAATGTCTGTCATTGGTGTCATTTAATTGAAATGGAGAAAGCTATTTCCAATGGTTTACATTTGAGAGATGAAGAATGACTTCAGTAGGACGGAGATACCCTCTGCCAGTTGGTTTCACTCCCCCCTTTCTCAAGTCTAAACTTGATGCCCTAATCCTTCCTGTTGACTTCAGGCTGAAGCTCTAGAGCCTTGGCTCTCCTCCCAGAAGAGAACGGCAGATCATCTGGTCTTCTTCCCTGGTGCCCCAGAAGACTTTAAGGAAACATTTTAGTTGTGGAACCAGGTGTATAAAATCTATCGTTGGTGGAATTTAACAATTTAAGCAAGGCAGCATTTGATGTAAATGTCTATATCCCCAAATCCACTCTCTCCACATTTTACTTCTAAATTTCAGCTAGAAATGGATGCTTCAGAGATGGTACCCATGAAATTATAATAAGTCCTAGTATCATTACCTTAATGGCATATTTTAAATACATAATTATCATTTTGCTAAGTTTATCCTGAAGAAAACATAATATGTCAGCAAATGTTTAGAGGATCTAAAACCATTCAACTAATTTGAAATAGGCCTTTGAAAGCAAAACTGGTCCACTTCCTTATTTTTTGCATTGGAATGATGATTAAAACATCTTTACTCTTAAGTGATTGAACTCATGCTGACTGTAGCAGGTGTAGGTGAAATAAAATAAACACAAAGAAAACGTATGGTTGTTGACTGAACCCTTTGACATTACATTTATACACTTTGCCAACCTAATTCAATATCTGTGGCTATGTAAAATGAATAGTCAAAACTGTATTTAAATTAAAAGCTTCAAATTGTGAATTATGAGTCTGATCATAGAAATATTATTAAGTTGATTTTTCTTCTACATAAAGCTTACTTCTACATGACCCAATTCCAGAAAGCATCAAAATTTATGATTTTATTTTATTTTATTTAACTAGGGTCATTAAAGGGACCACAAATTTGCCATTAATCATTGATTATATTCAATCAACTTTCAAGGTGACTTATGTCTTCACACTGTTTGCTACGCTACAATTTGCCAAACAGGCTTCCTGGCATGAAATGCAACATTTATTCTTAGGTAGTTGGAGAATTCAG